AAAATGCCCGTTAAGACAGAATGCCCATTTTTTAACTTGCTGATTAAGGGCTGTTAAATCAGAAATCAATGATACCACAATAATAGACTCAAAAACCTCAATAGATAAAAAATATAGTATATATGGCTGCACAATTAATCGAATTTCTAATCGCGATTACAGTTATGGATGCCACAATTATGTAATCGTTCAAAGCGGCAATTAATCATTCAAAGTCCACTTATGTTATTCTGTGTGCTTAAGATGCGTTTTTTTTTTTCTTTTCTATGTGTTATCTTAAGGGTTTTTACGTTGTTTTAGTTTTAGTATAACATTATAATACCATTCATATTTGTACTTTTTTTATAATTTAAAGAAGAAACCAATCCGATGTATAGTTGACATTTATACATTTATAGTTGTCCACCAGGCTGGACTATTGCAATGCTCTCTTGGCAGGTCTTCCAGCCACACCTTGCTACGTGTACTGCATTAGGCTAACCGAGACTTGTCATTTACACTTATATATTGTTGCTCTTTTGTTAGTTTTGACTGCTTTTATTGTCCTCATTTGTAAGTCGCTTTGGATAAAAGACTAAATGTAAATGTAAATGACATTTGAGGCTTAATACTATAGAAAAGCACTAAAAGTTTTTCAGTTCGAGTGTTTTCAGCTTGTTTATTTTCATATAAAAATACGGCATGCAGTTGCATCAAACAATGGTATAAACATCATTCAATGTAAATTGTGATAATCATAATTAATAATCACAATTACAATTTCAAGGGAATAATCGACAATTATGATTTTTGTCATAATCGTGCAGCCCTATTCAGATAATAGTGCAGCGGTCCATAAATAGCTGTACAGAAAACTCAGAAATGAATTGAAAATGTGTGTAGACTTCCCAAAAGTACTTAGCACTCATTATTTCACAGACAGAAAGCTTAAGAGAAGAGTTTACTTGCTATATCCAAGATTGGATGACATAATCGTCAAGACTCACCCAAGCATGAAGAAGAGAAGTTTTGAAGACAATGCTGGTGTTTATTTCGTCATTCATTTAAATTTATTTCAAGGAGAAATGAGTCTAGTATGGAGTATGAGTCTAGTAGGACAACAGAAGAGGGTTGAGTTCTGTCTCAAGACCAAGACCAGAAGAGGGTCAAGTTTGAGTTAAGACCGAGACCAGAAGAGGGTCGAGTTTGAGTTAAGACTGAGACCAGAAAAAGGTTAACTTAAAATCAAGACAGAATCCACATGGTCTCGAGTCCATGACAGGGCCAACATGAAACATGAAAACATGAAAAATATGATCTTGGTCTTGTCATTGACTTGGGAACTTGTGGACTTGTAGACTCATTTTTAGTGAATTCTGACTTTTTGGTATCTGTTCATTTATACGATTACACAAAGTGACTTGCATTTCTTTCAAAGTAACTGTTTTTTATCAGTTTGAGGCCTTTTCCTAACATAAAACCACTATATATTTGGAAGACTTACAGCACAGAAGTCATACGGACCACTTTTATGATTCTTTATGGTGCTTTTTTGCAATTTTTGAAGCTCAAAATCTCTCTGTTCATTGTAATTGAGCATGGAAACATGCTTTGAAAAGTCTCCATTTGTGTTTTGTGTAAGAAAGAAAGTCATGAGGTTTATAAACACGAAACAAAGGGATTTTAACTTCTGTATAACATTAGAATCTCCTATATGAGTTGTATGTATATTCTTTTAATTTCATCCTCTTTGTTTTTCTTCACAGGTGCAGCTGCCCATGTCCACGCTGCCGGCACCAGAGTGTCGTTCGCACTCTGAGAGTTCTGACGTCAGCTCTGAAGACGACAGTACGCTGGTCCTGTTGGCCCCCATCTCTCGTAGCCCCAGCCCTGGAAACCACAGCAGCAAACGACATCACCAGAAGCGCCAGCGCAGCCACAGCCCCGCCGTACCCGCACTCTCCGGGACGCCTCTTCCCTCCCTGCAGTCTCTGAATCTGTGCCCACGTCCCCGTGATGGCCCCACGCGGAGCTCCTCCCCACGCCCTTCGGCCAATAGCAAGAAAGAGCGTCTGGTTTCTCCAGACACGTTAACATCACCCTCTCTCAGTCCTCTCAGTCCACGGAGCCCCGTGTCCCCCGTCAGCGCTCCGGAGGCTCTGATAGCGGCCATTTTAGGAGAGCCCAGGCCTCCTCAGATAGGAAAAGCAGGCGATGTGATTCTCTGACCCATCCCCCCTTCCCTATCGATTTATTTCTAGACTTTAGCAGATATCGTAATGCTATTACTTGAGAGAAACAGCCTGTTTCAGGTCGTCCTCTGGCGCCTTTCAGACCTGCAGCTGTTAGTGCTCTCATGCCTTGTTGTGCTTAATCGCTTCACAAACTCTTCCTCAGTTCTCAGTGGCTTTGCCAATAGAGATTCAACTGGTCTATCCATTTTGCGTTATTTATTGATGATAGATTGTAAATGGAGACAGTACAACAGTGGACATCAGCCTTATAGTGCAGGACAACCTGACCCAAGGTAAAACTGTCCTTTTACCGTAGAATTAAAGTAAACAGTGATGTCAGCATTCATCTCAGCCTTTACTTGTTGTTCTGGTAGTAATTGAGTACACATATGCTAGGTTTGGCACATACTATAAGACCACCATACCACATTTTAGAATAAGTTATTTATTAACACCCATCATGCTTTGCTGAAGTTTTGTCAAGATAACAGCCTTCTGAAACAGAGCAAACCTTTGACTGGAGCAGCTGACTGAAGACAACCAATCACATCAGCTCTGCTCATTTATAGCATTTAGTGCCATTATTTGATTGTGTGTGTGCGCGTGTGCGCGTGTGTGTGTGTGTATGTGTGTGTGTGTGTGTGAATACATACTGACTGTGCAAAAATGTACACTAATAAATATCATGACTGTTTGCCCTTTAAATATGAGGAGATGATACAATTTAAATCAGTTTCAGACTGACAGTATAAAGATTTTATCAGCACATCATCGCAAATATAAGAAAAAAAGGTCCTGATTTTGCATAGCTCACCCTTTATTCTCTTCTCATGTTTTCAACAGAACAGATCATCTGTAAATGGGCAGAACTATTATTTTACTGTCCTCGCTTGTCCTCTTTAATTGTATATTATTTGGCTAGAGAGCAAAGAACACCGAGTTTGTTTATAATCATTGAATTATCTACTTAGATTGTCTTTTTAAAAATCAATTCAGAGTCAAATGTTTTCCTGTGGTTTGATTTCATCATGAACTGTGAAGTACAGAAATGTGTCAAAAGGAACAAGGAGGACACAATGCTACCACAAAAAAAAAAGAGAAACCCAATTGTCACCATTTATTGAGTCCTGTGGAGTAACTCACAAAGTCAGTTTTTTTTTATAATAATTGTCAGTTTCTTGGGGAACCTTCAAAATGTTTCTAATCAGGATCATCATGCTTATAGGTTTAGATGAGAGAGAGTTTGAGCAAAGATGATGTTACTGACTTTTCAATTAGATTTTTCTCTCAACACTCCTAATAATCCATTAGTCTGTTATGAGCTCTGAGCTCTTAGTCAGAGTTTGGAATGAGTCTTTGAAAACTCTTCCAGACCTGAAGGCGATTAGACACATTGTGAAAGCAATGGTTTCGGAAGTTCAAAAGCCAGAACCAGAGAGCAAAAGTGTCTTGTAATATATTTTTGGTGTTTGACTCATTCATAATTGACAGCAAAAATTGTGCAAATGAAGTTCATTTTGAAAGCATCTCCCTCAGGCAAAAACAGTCACCTGGCAGCAACGTGATCATACATAAGAGTTATTTACCCTTACACTCCAAAACCTTGCCAGGTGCAAGTTTACGTCATTCATGTAAATAAATACACAGAAATAAAATCAATCATTGTTTTGATTTAATTGTTACAAATTATTTACCATTTTAATTAATTGGAAGGAAGACAAAAAACAGTCTGAGACCACAATGAAAATTTCGATTTCATTTTGTTAAGTGCTACTGTCATTAAATCAAAAGGGGGAACAAAAGATATTCTGAAATTCATTATAAATTTTCAATCCAACCACTCAGATTCTGACAAAAATGGGGAAAATGCCAAGAACAGCATTTTCGCAAGTGGTCTCAAACTTTTGGACCCCAGAGCACATCTGAGGTTATGGATCGACAAACTCAATGACCTCTGAGTTTCACTGTAGAGCCCATGTCCCCTGCACCTCCTGGCGCTCTAAGAAATTACTGCCTACAGATTAGATGGAATAAAAGAGGCCCCACGCTGAATGAAAGTGTGTGACAGTTCAATTGAAGCATTGAGCGAATGTGATAGATTATAATCATGCTGACTGGTTATGCACAGAATACAAACACATATATTTCGCATACTACCTAGAAACTTCATAATCTTCTGAAACACAATCAGATACACACCCCACATACAGTAATAATAAGTAGTGAGACAGGCTCAGCAGCTCTGCCCACAAGTTTTCATTTACACGCATTTAATACGCTGCAATACAACAATTAATGCTTTGTTCAACCGAGTCCAAAGTGCAACTCCAAGACATACATTCCTGATGTAGGTTATACATTGTCAAAGGACAAAGTGCATTCTACATAAATTCTCCCCTGCAAAACTGCATTACATAATCATTTTACATCACAAGTTTATACATTTGAAAAAACACACTGACATGATGCACAATGCACATACATATTGTTCTGCAGTGAACATTAGGCCTAAGCTAGGAGCAGCTAGGGGGGGAAAAACATGAAACTGTATGGAGTAGAAATTCAGATTTAAAACAAACCTATAGAGTTCGCTGGAGCAAAAAAAAAAGTGTGACAACTAGCACTATATGTATTGTTTTAAACTGGGTTTTTTATTTGTCAATTTGTCTTTGTTTTATTTCTAAACATGTAAACATATAACGTACACAAAGCAGGGCCTTCTTCGTCTGCTCACGTAACGCCGGCGCCGCTTCTGATTGGCTGACGCGGAGACGGACGGGGGCGTGGCCGAGTGAAGTGGGATATAGTGGGAGGGATATAAACTAAAAGACCGGCTGCTCGCGCTATCGTTTGAGGTCAAGTCTACACACAGGGCGTCCGCGACAGAGCATCACCACAAACATCTGTAAGATCGACGCTTCAGAAGCAGACACTTAACGCGCTACAACCAGCGAGAGAAACACGCAGATTTAGACAAGCGCAACGGTCAGTCCAACATGAACGGGCAGATGAACGGTTTCCATAACTCCCTGATTGATGAAGACTGCTTTTTGTTCACGTCTGAGTCTGTCGGTGAAGGACACCCTGGTATGTATCTGATTCATATTATGTTATGATTAAGATTTTAGCGTCACAAGATCGCGCAGAAGGTAAACAACCGGAAACGAGATTCCACAGCTAGCACGTGCTAATAACGGCTGATAAATATTTCACACTTCTATACACAAAACATTTGCAATTATAACATTGTATTATACTCCCATTATGTCAAGGGCGGGTAAAATGCGTTATGGTTTAATGTACGCTGACTTTAGTAAAGTGGGATGTGTTTGTCTGCTCGGCCTCGCGCGGCGGAGTCACCGGATTTGAGGCCCAAAGCTAATCTCGCGAATGTAGGCCGTGAATGCTTTAAGGGCTTATATTTTATTTTCGTTTTTATATAACGTAATTAATAAATATTATTTATGTCCACTATATACTGGCTCCTAATAATTAGGCCTATTTTTATTTGAAGGTGGCCATGTTATCGGCGGCCTCGCGGAACATCCGTTCATCACAGAGTTGAGCCAAGTCCGTGGTTTTCCCGCGTAATTGAGCTACTGTAAAAACTGGGTCGTTTTACATGTCTGCGGGTTGAAGCGACCAAAAATAACGTTATATTTATCCCTTGGAGTGCGAATTTTTACTGGGGACCCCCTCGAAACGCGATTGGGCTAGTTTTGAGTTACGATTGGACGGGTTTTGTTGTGAAAACCTGGCAACCCTGGTTCATGTGCATTGCGGACTCGCTGCGCGTGTTGTTGGTCTGCCGGTTTGCCCGGTTGCGTGTTTCACACGTCAAGACGAGCCTCTAACTTATTCCAGCCCAAGAGTCATAAATAATCGTTCCCCTTATTACTTCTCTTCATAATCCTCATTCATTGGTCTATAAGATCAGCAAATATTAATGCCTGCGCGTGTCTGCACGAGTGCGCCGCCGCGTGTTCGTGAAATCGTGAATGTTAATTGTCCGGGGGGTTTTTTTGGTCGTCCATGTGCTTTGACACCCCTGCACGTGGTGTAGCTAAACTTTCATTCTCGCTCAAGTGGCCGCAACTATTGCGTCAGCGCAGCTTTTAGGCCCGAAATATACAATACTTGAAAGCAAACGCCTATAGCATCGCTTTCCAGAAGTTTAGGGTCGTTCACACCGCGCGCGTTATTTAGTGCAGCTTGCTTATTTATTTATTATTGGTGGTGTGTATGTATACATACGTGCCTGACGCACGTCTTTGACCACTGCGATGCGTCGCGCGCCATTATTACTGCGTTTAATGCAGTACGTCAAATGAGTACGCAGCATCCATAAAACCGGGTGCGAACATTATCCACATGACATACTGGATCTGCTCGGATTCTCAAGTGTGGATGGATGTTTTGTAATTCCGTAATTATACAACCGCATAAACTGAGTTGTCAGATTGGGAATATTAAGAAAATGTAGTTGTCGAAAACCAGTAGTCAATAGCTTGTCAATAGTAATTTCATCACGGGTCAAAGAACACATTGGTCATTGCAGACATGGCGTGATGTGGTATTTGCAGGAATATGTTTGCTTCACACACCTACACATTCACCTACGGACCAGAAGTTATGTATCTGATTCAGTATGTACTCTGAAGTATGTAATTTCAGATGTAAAGCATAGTTTTCTTTCCCGAACCTATGCTGCGTTCATGTCATGTCAGATTTACCAAAATAGAGTGCATTAGTGCCTGTGCACTTTCAGCAGCCCTGGTTCCGGTAGTGCTTTTCCCTTAGGGATTTTCAAAATCTTCATATAAGAGTTATCAGCCATAAAACCAACCAGATACTAGTTGAATCACAACATGACACTTTGATTTGAAGCAATGTAAAACTTCTTATGTTATTCCAATATATTCGTGCATATGTATATAAATGCGTACACACTTACACGCATTAATATTTAAGTCATTTGAGAGCATATGGAAACTGACTTATTCGCTGTGCTACATGGGGGTGGGCGGGTACTAAAGTGCTCTTCTGGTGCTGGTTATGATTCTCTGATTAGTGGAGGTTTCTGTGCAGAATCATGGGTGATGTAGTTTTTCACAAGGAATTCAACTGTTAAACTCTTAAAGTTGAAATAACAATGGCTAATTGCTTCAAGAAACATATGCCATCAATTAACAACCTTGTAGCTTACAGTAGGTCGGTCTATAAATTTACATTAAAATCAATTCTTATGTGGAAAAAGAAAAGAATATAATTTTTACTTCCGGAACCAATTGTTGGGCTACATTACGAGATGACAAGTCAGGGCTCACGTTTTTGAGGTTGTAAGAAGCACTTGCATCCTTGTAGAATTCGTAATTGCAGTGCTTCTGACATAATGTGAAAGCACTGTTATTGCAAAAAGGACTTTTGATTGGGCCTCAGGTGTTTACAGGGGGAGGGGCTTTCTTGTTCTCAACAATTTGATTGGACAAATATATTAGTGCAGAATGAGTCCTCAGTATTTACATTTAGCTAACTAACGTATTGATAACGCCAAAGCTAATGTGGACTAAAAGGTGCACAAATTTTATTAGCGTTTTAAAACGGTTTCTGTATTAGATCAACCACTCTCTTGGGGTGACAGTCAAAGTAGAATCTCGTCAGGCAAGTTCAGTGACGCCAAATGTTTGGTTAACTGCGGGATGTTACAGTCACAGCATTGCAAGGGTGCGCTTTTTTCAGTGAGATCACATGCTTGCAATGAGTTGACCAAGCATTTGTGTTCTCGCGTAATGTTTGTTTGTGTACCTGTCCGCCGTATCATTTTTTTGTCTTCCATAGACTGACACCTGTACACGTGGTGTGACTTTTCCCATCTCGCTCCACTGCCCTCACTACTGCATCAGTGCGCTTTCTAATGAGCTCAGCACAGGTCTAAGTTCAGTGCTGATGGTGTGGGGGAGGGTTAGCAGCCCCGCTGCAGCTTAGTTTGGCTTACCTCTGCCCTAAATATAGATGGTTACTCCAGGGGCTGCAGTGGAGTGGCAGCATGGACATTCCTGCCTCAGTTAGAGAGGCCTTACTGCAGTGAGCTAATGTACTTCACCTGTTGTATGGAAGTGTTTTATGGAGGCGACTGAGGCACTAGCAACGTCCATGTCTATCATTGTGAAACAAGCTCTTGGCTCACACAAGGGTTGTAAGCCATAGGGATGGGTGATATCTTATCGTTTGCGATATACCGGTAAAACTTCTCCCCACGATAAGAATTAGACTTCCTGCGATAATAACGATAAAGTCTAGTTGTTGACATATTTCTGTGTGCGACATCACGGAAAGCGGATGTGAAATTGAGGAGGAGTAGCCTATATCGCTAAATGAGGAGCTCGAGCTTTAACTGGTTTGGTTAGGGATGTACAGTGCACAAAAAAATCGTTCTGAATAAATGTACTACAGTAGCACGTGTGCGATACAGTTTTGCATGTGTATGAGCCTGTTTACAAAACTGTTGTCCAACAAAGATATAATTTATTGACATGCCAAATTAACTTAATAACATAGTCGAGTGTTTGAAATACTTCCTTTTTGTGGCCAGACGTGGTTTCATATTACATATATTATATACAGTGATAAAGGCCATGTCGATTAACATTGCATTATAAATATACTTTAAAAAAATACCCAAGATTGAAGAACACAGATAAACCATATATTTTGTGCAGTCTTATGTTTATTTTCCTCAAGTTTCATCAGTTTTATTCAGTGATAACTGGATACCTTCCTGGAGCATCGTCAGTAGTATTTCTTCTGCTATGGATATGTGGAGTTTCTGTGCAAGTTTCTGTCCCTCCGGCTTCCAGTATGAATTAAACAGTCTTTACATTACGTGTGAACTCATTAACCTATTAAGACCCGGCAGAACATTTTAGGACATTTTTTTTATTTTTTGATGTCATTACATTGTTTAGAGCATTAAAAAAATGTAAACAAAAAAATAAATATAAAAATTGATACTTCATAAGTTATGCTACGTTCTTGGTAGAGGACATCGGGACTCAATTTCTTTTAAAAATAAAAATAAAAAGACATGAATGAACATGCATAGGCAAAAACAATTTATTTTTAAATCACCAATACATTTTTAGTTTTCAGGATTTTTTTTACCAAACTTTGTATAAAGATCATTCTCAACTATGTTATAACAGAATTATTTGATATACCATTTTTCTTCATGCAAAATGTGTGTAAAATGGCCACAAACAGGTTTTCTCATTACATACAATGTATCTATAAACTAAATCTAATTAGCATATTAATGTGTTTTTGGGGCAACATGTAATGAAAAAAGAAGTGTAATATTGAGAGTAATAATTGACAAGATTTTCATAATAATATATAATATTTCATAGGAATATTGAAATATATTTTCTTTCCCTTTTAATTTGTTGTCTCACAAAATGCGTAATAAACATGCTTTTAGTCCCGGTGTCCTCACATGAGGACATGTATGAAATCAACCTCCTGTTTCAGAAAACAACAGAAAACGTAACAAAGTTATATTTTTATTTGAAACCCCATAACATTTTCCTGAGATGTTGATTTATGACACGCAGTTTAAAAATTTGTCCGATTTAAATGACAATTACAAAATATTATCATATTTCCATAAGAGTGTCACTAAATTAATATCAGACATTTTTGAAGACCAAGGAGAGGGGGTGGTCATGGTGAAACATCCTAACATTTAGTATCTCTGAAAAGCCCTGAATGTGCTCTGTACAGGACATCCAGACTTAAAACTGGCATGCATAGTCTCAAGAGAAATTCACTAAAATATGATGTCCTCATAAGAGGATGCGGGGTCTCAGGAGGTTAATGCTCACCCTATTTTGGGTAAAAATAGGAAAGATAATACTTTTCTTAAAAGTTATCGTAATAAATACCAGAAATATCGTGATATATTTTTAAGCTCATATCGCCCATCCCTAGTAGGCACGGTTGTTACTGAATTGCTTTCAGAGTTTTGCAAAATGCCAGTTACGTTTGCTGGAGCTATAAAGCCGGGTTGTTGTAGTTGTCTAAAGCCATCAAATACATTTTTGTTACTTGAAATAAAATGTTAACCAAAATAAAGTAAAATATACAAAATCCTAAGCTCATTTCAGCCAGTTGACAAGGAAACATTTCTCTTGCATTTAGTTTAACTTATTGTACTTAAATATCAAAAACTAAAAATAAAATACATTAGACATTTAAAATAATAATAAACTAATAAAAAAAGCCAAAAAGACAATTTTTTAAATTAAAATGTAAATCTAAAAATAAAAGCTAATTATAAAATATTAATGAAAAATATAGTATGTCAGTGATATTAAACTAGTATATAAAGTGGCCGGTGATGTGAAATTCCTGTGACTTGTATTTTTTTGGTTTTTTGTATATACAAACACATGGGCAATGATGTAATAAAAACAAAAATGCATGTGTATTGTTGTATTAATTGTTCACATTCCACACACACATATATATATATGTGTATATATATATGTATGTATATATGTGTATATATGTGTATATATATATGTATGTATATATATGTGTGTATATATATATGTATGTGTATGTGTTTTTACAAATATAACTTTTTTTGTTTGTGAATGTATTGTAAATATGTAATGACTTACTATACCCAAGGGCCATGATTTTATAAAAATGTAACTAAGATTTTATGTACTATCACACCCTTGTCACAGGGAAATTGCAAGCCTGCTATTATAACATGTTTGAGGTATGCATTGCAAATTCAAAATCCAGTTATGGCCATCCCTGGAGGCAGTGTTGGCAGTTGTGATACGAGAGTCTTGATTAACCAGAATTCTGTGCTCTGATTGGCTGATTAAATGATTACACCACTCGTTTCTCTGTTCCAGATAAGATTTGTGACCAGATCAGTGACGCTGTGTTGGACGCCCACCTCAAACAAGATCCTGATGCCAAAGTAGCATGTGGTGAGTGTCAAATTATGCTTTCCTGCACTCTTTTCTCCATGCTTGCAATGTGAATCTCCTTACTGTGTGCTCTAACCCCTATCAATCTGTCCTGGCAGAGACGGTTGCCAAGACTGGAATGATCTTACTGGCGGGTGAGATCACCTCTCGTGCTGTTGTGGACTATCAGAAGGTTGTCAGGGACACCATCAAGCACATTGGATACGATGACTCCTCCAAAGGTATAATGGCACTAAATGTCAGGGAAAAGAGTGCTGCTATGCTATTCTTATTGCCATAATACTTTCAAAACATACGACACTGCACAATGTGTACTGGTTTATGATTTTGAATTGACTGCCAGTTGGATTTAGGGTAGAATTAATCAGCCTTTTATTGTACTTTTAGGGTTTGACTATAAGACCTGCAATGTGCTTGTGGCTCTTGAGCAGCAGTCCCCTGATATTGCTCAAGGGGTTCACCTTGACCGCAGTGAGGAGGATGTAGGAGCTGGAGACCAGGTAAGAACTAGATATAACGACTTTGTTCATATGCCAAGATGTGAATCGGTCTATAAGGAGCATTGAAATCTTTACTGGATTGACTGAGTACTTGGCTTCTTAGGGCTTGATGTTCGGTTATGCCACTGATGAGACTGAGGAGTGTATGCCTCTCACTATTGTCCTGGCCCACAAGCTGAACGCTAAAATGGCTGAACTACGGCGTGACGGCACCCTGTCTTGGCTGCGACCTGATTCCAAGACCCAGGTGAGACGAGACCAAAAAATGTTAGCAGTCAATAGATTCAATACAATATAATTCAAAAGTTTGGGCTCCGTAAGAGAGAAACTTCTTTTAAATAAAGAAGTTAATGCTTTTGTTCAGCAAGCACGCATTAAAATTCATCAAAAGTCAGATTGAAGACAATGTTACAGAATATTTTAATTTCAAATAGGCTGTGAACTTTCTAAAAATGAGTGATTTCCACAAAAAGATTGATAATTGAAATGAGATGTTTGAGCAGGAAATTTAGCATATTAGAATGATTTCGGAAGGGTCATGTGACACTTTAGACTAGATTAATGATGCTGAAAATTCAGCTTTGATCACAGAAATAAATTGCATTTTAAAATGTTCTATTAGAAAACGTTTTTAAATTGTAATATTTCATAATATTACTGTTTATACTGTTTTTATGATCAAATAAATGCAGCCTTGGTGAGGATCAGAGACATCTTTCAAAAACATTTAAATCTCAATTATTCCAAACCTTTGAATGGTACTTTATTACTACTGTAGGACTGAGATTGTGTGCCTGCATCTTGTAACGATTGTAACAGTTAATCTCAACTTCTATGTTACTTCTTTCTCTAGGTGACTGTCCAGTACAGGCAGGACCGCGGGGCCATGATTCCGGTGCGTGTGCACACCATTGTAGTGTCTGTTCAGCATGATGAAGGAGTGTGTCTGGATGAGATGCGTGATGCTCTGAAGGAGAAGGTGGTGAAAGCTGTGGTTCCCAGCATCTACCTGGATGATGACACCATCTATCACCTGCAGCCCAGTGGACGCTTTGTCATTGGAGGCCCACAGGTTTAAACTATTATCAATTTCAGTGCACATGGAAAAGTGGGGAATAAATATATTCTTAGTCCTTTAAATTGTTTTAATTTGTTTCATATGTATATCTGATCAGTGTGATTTTGTGACTATTGTCAAAGTAATAGGTGTGGGAACTGAGGTCTGAAGACATGCTTGGCCAATCCATCACCTTTACCCTCAGCTCCTTTAGCAAGGCAGTGGTCGTCTTGGAGGTGTGTTAGGGGTCGTTGTCATGTTGGAATACTTCAACCTCTGCAGCAATGCTGTCAGCACTCATATGTCTATTTCCCAAACACAACCTCTGGATATGACGCTGAGCACTTGCACTCAACTTCTTTGGTCGACCATGGCGAGGCCTGTTCTGAGTGGAACCTGTCCTGTTAAACCGCTGTATGGTCTTGGCCACCGTGCTGCAGCTCAGTTTCAGGGTCTTGGCAATCTTCTTATAGCCTACGCCATCTTTATGTAGAGCAACAATTCTTTTTTTCAGAAACAAAACTTTTTTTCAGATCCTCAGAGTTCTTTGCCATGAGGTGCCATGTTGAATTTCCAGTGACCAGTATGAGAGAGTGAGAGCGATAACACCAAATTTAACACACCTGCTCCCCATTCACACCTGAGACCTTGTAACACTGAGTCACATGACACCAGGGAGAGAAAATGGCTAATTGGGCCCAATTTGGACATTTTCACTTAGGTGTGTACTAATTTTTGTGGCCAGCGGTTTAGACATTAATGGCTGTGTGTGTTGAGTTATTTTGAGGGGACAGCAAATGTACACTGTTATACAAGCTGTACACTCACTACTTTACATTGTAGCAAAGTGTCATTTCTTCAGTGTTGTCACATGAAAAGATATAATCAAATATTTACAAAAATGTGAGGGGTGAACGCCCTTCTGTGAGATACTGTATATATTAGAGGCTTGTGTGTTAAATTTGTATTTTTTTTATTGTGGTGGTTGTTCAAACAGTAAGATTCTTAATTCTTCATGCTGTTTTTACAGGGAGATGCTGGTTTGACTGGCCGTAAGATCATTGTGGACACTTATGGAGGCTGGGGTGCTCATGGAGGCGGCGCTTTCTCTGGAAAGGATTACACTAAAGTTGACCGTTCAGCAGCCTATGCGGCCCGCTGGGTGGCCAAGTCTCTGGTGAAGGCTGATCTGTGCAAGCGTGTTCTGGTCCAGGTGAATATTTAGCAGTCTTTCGCCATCTATTAGTGTAATAGGGAAGGTATAAGTCTTACCCATTTACCGGTTTCCTCAGTTGTCTTACGCCATTGGAGTGGCCCACCCCTTGTCAATCTCCATCTTCCACTATGGAACCTCCCAGAGGAGCGAGAAGGAGCTGCTGGAGATCGTGAAGAAGAACTTTGACCTCCGCCCAGGTGTCATCGTCAGGTAAAGTGTGCTCCTCAGTGGCGGCCCAACCGCCGCCTCTCAGTTTGATGGTTTTCAAGTCATCTTTGACATTTGCTCCCGCGTTTCCTGAGTTTGGTCTTTTGCACCGTTAACATTTATAGAGGCTCATTGAGTTTGACTGAACGTCCTTCTTTGTGCATGGCAATTGTCTTACTCTGTCTCCTGTACAATTCCAGAGAGCTGGACCTGAAGAAGCCCATCTACCAGCGCACCGCTGCCTATGGCCACTTTGGCCGTGAGTCCTTCCCCTGGGAAGTTCCCAAAAAGCTTAAATACTAAAGCTGTAACCCCCCCCCTCCTTTCTTTGGGCAGTAGGTGTACGTTACAGAGAAACCTACTCAACCCGTCGGAGGGGGGAGATGTACCAAATCCCCTCACTCCTAACCTCACACCCACTCCCAAAGGTAATTCCCCTCCAATGGCGTTCTCCCCGTACAACTCTACCTTCAACCCTGTTCTTTGCTGTACTGTTTTCGAAATATCTGTGGATGGTGACTGCGGTTTTTTGTTTTTTTTTACTTAATGCGCCCTCTTCTCCACCCATCTCTCTTCGACCCTTCCTTCCTTCCTTGCCTACTTGCTTGAAAGATCACAAATGAAGATGGCACAAATGGGGGTCAAAGGTTGTTCTGTGATGCTATGCATTGCTGGCTGAAGCACTAACCCCTCGACTTTTTGTTTTACCAACGAAGAGAACTAATGCTTACCATTTTCCAGGTCCACCACTTTATGCGTACCATCGCGAATGGGATCAAAACCTCTCGTCAAATGTCGAAAACCTGTCTTTATTTGGATTCAACAAGAATGTGTTTAAGTTACATAGTACAGGGATCGGATTGAGAAATTTTAAGAGACTTTTTACACATGCATACTGTCGCAATGGTTTCATCCCGGTCACTGCAGGCCGTGTTGATCTTATTTCTGACGTGTTACAGAGAAGTCAGAAGCTGCTACCAACTGTTGTGGTTCTGCAGGACTGGCGACGCAACCGTTCCCCTTCGGTCTTGATGGTGATTCCAGATTAAACCTTCTGGTAGCTGTTATGTGATGTTCTACTAGACCACGGCGGAGGCAAAGCACTCCCTCTCTGCGTGTGGCGACAGCGGGCGTAGCTACAGAGAAGCCCTGCTCCCTCGCTGGCGCAGAGGGGCCTCCTCCGCCTCTTGAATCGCTCCATACTTGAATACTCAACCTAATATTTGCTTGGTGATCCTCTTGAGCCTCGGCGTCGGTACAGAAAAGCCTGGGATCTCAAGGTGTGACTGCCTTTATTACTTTTTTTTTTTTTTTTCTTTTTTTTTAACATATGAAAGGAATAGTTTTTAAAGACAATGAATACTTGTTTTCATTTGCTTGAACACCGTAGTCATGGTGTATGTCCTGCGTACCGGCTCTGTGGTCTTCCCTTGGTGTCCTACAGAAAGCTTTGGGCTCTTGCCACAAGCTGGTGCTGGTTCTTCCTTTTTTTTTTTTTTTTTTTTTTTTTTTTTTTTTTTTTTACATATGAAAGGAATAGTTTTTAAAGACAATGAATACTTGTTTTCATTTGCTTGAACACCGTAGTCATGGTGTATGTCCTGCGTACCGGCTCTGTGGTCTTCCCTTGGTGTCCTACAGAAAGCTTTGGGCTCTTGCCACAAGCTGGTGCTGGTAACTGACCATTGTTACACTTTTTTTTTTTTTTTTTTTTTTTTTTTACGTGAGTGAAGACAGGTAGATGAGACTGTCCCATACACACACGTTTTACATTCAAGACTCCTGGCGCTCCCACAGACCGAAGCGAGTCTGGTCGGTGTTGTACAGAGAAACCGGCTTTGTTTACATGCTCTCTCTGTTGGGTGTGTTTGGGTTGCAGTCTTTTTATATAATGCTCATCTTCTGTTTTTCGTACAAATATATTTTGTTTTAATTCCAGAGATTGGTGCATCAGACTGGTTACTGAAAGAGTAGAAGTGCCTTTTTCTATTGTTTCTTTTCCTTTGTCACTCCTCTCCCTCTTCTCGCCTTCTCCCTTTGTTCACCTTCTCTCCTTCCCCCTAAATTTCCTCTCGTGATACATGTGAATCCACAGAGAACTCCTGAATTCCCTTCCTTTCAATGCTCCGTGATGGTTCTGTCAGTGAAATTAATAAAAATTCTGACCCTTAAGACTCTTGTTTTATGGTATTTCACATTCCTGCCAGATTCTTCGGAGGGGGTTGCCACCTTTCCCCTCTTTCCCTCCTTTAAACGTTTACAGCCCCTTCCATGATTGAGGTGCAAAATAGGGCTTTGATTGTATGGTATGCATTGTTTTAAAGCTGATAAAACAACTTCACACTTGTAACTCATACAGCCTAAAATTGAGTCAATTTTGAGTTTTACAGTTTTGTTCGGAACATGAAATTGAAGTTTTCTGTACAACTACACTACCTTTCAAATGTTTGGGATTGATAGTTTATTTTTTTGTTTTTTGAAAAGTTTATGCTAACTGTGGCTGCATTTGATAAAAATACAGTATTGTGAAATACTGCAATTTAACACGTATCTATTTTTCAAATAATATTTTATTCCTGGTGAAGGTGAATTTTCAGTGTCACGTGATCCTTCAGAAATCATTCTAATATGCTGATTTGCTGCTCAAACATTATCAATGTTGAAAACAGTTTTTGTTGCTTTTTTTTTATTGCAAGTATTGTAAGTTTATTTATAAACTTTCGCTTTTGATCAATTTAATGCCTCCTAGCTGACAATCAATAACGATCGTGAAGCTGAATCATTTAAATTTGTGGAGCACAAGCAGGATTTTCTATACATAAGTCTTAAAACGGTAAGGTTACGTGACTTAAAAATAGCATGTTATTGAATACTTTAAGGGCTGCACTTTTATTTCCAGTGGTTTTTTTTATTTATTTTTTTTTCCTTCTGAAAGATGTTGCTATATGGTGACACCTTACCACACAGGATAAAAAAAAAACAAAAACGTATTGATCAACTTCAGGAGGTCAGAATAAATATGCATTTCTGACCTTACCTAAAACCGGTTAAGATTGAACAAACTCCTGAGTGCCATATTGGGTGATCGCTAGTCTAATATCGACATGGGTATCATAGGATGAGTGGATTGAGCAGCACATCCTCATTCCAGGGTTCCCACGCTTCTTGAAAGTACTTTTGAAATGTTAAGTACTGTAAGGTCTTTCATGACACTACATATGCTGGGGTGTGAATTTGATAGGTCCTTGATATAAAATAAATGGTGCTTGAAAAGTCCTTGAATCTGGTGTTCATGAAAGAGTGGGAACCCTGTCATTCTGTACTGGAGAAAAATAAAACCCTAAAAACAAACCCTTCAAAAAAATGTTAACTTTAACCAGACATTAAGGTGAATTTTAAAAGTTTCAATATAATTCTGCATCACTCATTAAATATCAAGGAATTACACAAATGTGCAAACCTCACAACTGTGTTTGTATTCTTAGGCTGCATTTACACTGCAGATCTGGATGCCCAAATCGGATTATTTGACTATATCCGATTTTTATGACGACCCGCTTACGGGACCCGTATCCAATATCTGCATTTACATACACAGGCTTAACTTGACGTGGCTCAATGCATCAGAGTCAGTGGAATTAAAATACCAAACTGCACACATTATTAATAAAGCATTCTTTGTATTGAAAAGATGAGATTTCACTCGAAAGAAGTCTCCACAACATTTAGCAGCCACCGTCACTGATAACAGCGGCAACGAGCACTCGGCATGATTTTAAAAGAAACACATTTTAGAGCCAGTTAGCCTCTTATTTAACACAAATGAACAAAATTAATACTCTGCTAGTCAACTAATCTTAGAGATGTTTCATTTGTAATAGATGTATCTTTACAGCGAGATGTTTCAGAAACATTTGACATCCAACTCGCATTAACGGGAATATCCGATCTGTCGGTTTACACGACAGGCGCAAATGCACCTATCCGATTCATATCAGATTTATTTCCACATATGAATGAGGCCTGAAACCGATCTGAGTATATCAGAATCCACGTGATTTTTTTCCTGCTTACACGGTCCTGGGCCATATCCGATCTGTGCCACATTGGAGGAAAAAAAAAATCGGAATTGGGTCACGTGAACTATGCCGTGTAAATGCGACCTTAACCTTTTGATGGGGAGAATTGGTAAGAAGAGTCCTTTTCAACAATAGTATGTTCCTGCACAACCGGAGGCTGCAGTTTCAGGACCGCGTTTCCAGGACCCTAGTTTTTTGTAACCGCGTCACTTACCGAATTGGATGATATAGCGGAAGCTGCAGTTTCAGGACCGTGGTGGTTTAGTTTGTAGTAATGTTTGTACACGTTATCAAAGATATTGAATCTCAGGAACATTTTTTTTTTCAATTGTGATTTTTGATTTAAAATGCATCAGAGGTTAATTACAAAGTGTGTAATACCTTTTTTGAGTCACAATTTAAAATTTTAACAAATAAATGTACATTTAAAGGGGTCATATGATGCGATTTCAATTTTTCCTTTCTCTTTGGAGTGTTACAAGCTCTTGGTGCATAAAGAAGATCTGTGAAGTTGCAAAGACTAAAGTCTCAAATCCAAAGAGATATTCTTTATAAAAGTTAAGAGTCAGCCACGCCCCCTAAAATGGCTCGTTCTAACACGCCCCCACATACCTACCTCACTATGTGGGAAGATTTGCATAACGCCGCCCAAATGTTCAAGCAAAGAAAGAAGGCGTAACTTTTATTCTCGCTGTAGTATTGTTGCCGCCGCCGCCATGTCATGAAAGTGTCATGTAGTTGTGAAAGCGAAATTACTTTGTTTGGTCTTCCAAAAGAGGACGATATCCGCTTCGTCATGCCTAGAGCTGATCCGTGCTGGACGCTGAGGAAAAACATCAACTTTGCGCTGTGGATCGCCGGATCGGCTTTCAC